AAGAAAGAAAGAAAGAAAGAAAGAAAGAAAGAAAGAAAGAAAGAAAGGAAGGAAGGAAGGAAGGAAGGAAGGAAGGAAGGAAGGAAGGAAGGAAGGAAGGAAGGATAAGAAAAGAAAAAAGAAAAGACAGAAAGAAAAAGAGAAGAAAATAAAGGGACTGGGAAGATGGTTCGATAATTCCATGTGCATGTTGCTCTTGAGAAAAGCAGGGTTTGGTCCCCAGCACCCACATGTGGTGTTCACCACCTCCTGTAACTCTAGCTCTGGGGGACCTGATGCCCTTCCCAGTTCCTGCAGGCACTCACATACATGTGCACACTCACAGAGAGAGAGATGTAATTTTTTAAGATTATAAAATAGGGCATAAAGATGGCCCAGTGGTTAAGAGCACAGCTGCTCTTCCATAGGACCTGAGTTGATTCCTGGCACCCACAGGTGGCCTACATAACTCTAGTTCCAATAGATCCAGCACGACATCTTCTGGCCTCCATGGGCATGTACCACACTGCCATCTATGTAGCCAAAACACCCATATACATAAATTTAAAATACATAAATAAACGTACTTTAAAAAGATGACAAGTGGAAAAAAAAAACATGCATAGAAGCAGCACAGCATGGGGCTGGGAAAATGCAGGGCAGGCTACTGTCACGGACAGACACCCTACTATGGTAGCACTTGTGCTAATTTACTGTGGTCTAGACAACCCAAGGTCCTCTGGCCACGCCCCTGCCCTCAGTGCCGTTCCCTGCCAGTCTTCTGTCTACCACACACAGAACAAGACTGTTTCTCATTTGGGACATGTAGACTCGGACACCAGCTCCCAGGGGAGCCTGACAACCAGCACAGCTCACTCCTGCCTTTCTCTTGCAGCCTTTTTCAAAGCCCCACTGACCTTCCCTTCTTGTAGCTTGTGACCATGACCATCAGCCGAAAGGACAAGCCACACCCCACCAAGGATACCTGCTGTGCTGAGACGCATCCAGTGCCAAAAAGGCAAGAGTTGGAAATGCCCGAGGCAGAGAGTTAAAATGAGGAGCCAGGCTGGCAGAAAAGCGGCACCACGGGGTGTAGAAGAGGACCAGTGTACAGTCAGTGCCATTTGGGTTTAGGAAATCCATGAGGTCCTGCAAAGAAAGGGACAGTAGTTACAGTCGGCATTAAATGTACATGTGCGAACTGGCTAAGGAGGGCAGGAAGGAACTCTAGGTTCAAGGCCAGCCTGATCTACACAGCAAGTTCCAGGGTTGTTAGGGACACACCCAGAGACCCTGTCTCAACAAAACAAAACAAAAAAAGTTTATGTTTCTGAAAGGATTCCCACTAGCGAGCAGCAAGTGGGCAGAGAGGAGGAGACTGACCCTTAACCATTGGCAGGATTTTAGAACCAGAGAGCACAAGTCAGCAGAATACCATGAATGACAAGGCACTCATCTCCAAGCTTTCCTGAAGCTACTGCAGTGTTTTCTTAACTAGACAACTGAAACACTAAATACTCATAGCACACACGGACCACCATGCCCAGGCCATGCTTTGGTTTGGATCTTATTTCTATTTATGCGTTTGTGAGTATGTATGCATGTTTGTATGCATATGTGCAGGCAGATGTCCGTGGAACCCAGAAGAAGGCATTAGAGCTGGATGCTGGAGCTGGAATTACAGGCTGCTGTGAGATGCCAACCATGGATGTTTGGGACAGAACTCGGGTCCTCTGGAAAGGCAGCTGGTACTCTTAGCTGCTGAGCCCGAAACTTGCTGGAGGCTTACCCCTCAGCCTGGGGTGCTGTTGGAAAGTAGTTCCAGCACTGGAAGGTAAGCTCTAGTGGGGAGTCAGAGGTCACTGCAGCACACCTTTCTTGTTGCTCATGAGCCTTCTGCTCAATGTCTGTGGCCATGAGTGTGCCTGGTATTTGTGGTGGCCAGAGGAAGGCATCAGAGCCCCTGGAAACACAGTTACAGATGGTTGTGAGCTGCCATGTGGGTGCTAGAAATTGAACCCAGGTCCTTGCAAAGCAAGCCAATGTTCTTACCCTCTGAGCCATCTCTCCAGCCCCTGGAGCATGTCTTAAGAGAGGACTGTGGAACCTCGATCTCTTTTTGCTCTGCTTCATTCACAGGGTCTCACAATGTAGTTCTGACTGACTTGGAACTCACTGTATAGACCAGGCTGGCTTCAAATTCATAAAGATCTGTATACCTGCCTCTTCCTCCCCACTGCTGAGATTAAAGGTGTGTACCACCACAAACCTTGATCTCTTCATTTTCATTTCACTTTCCAGCACCCAGGAGGTGAAGCGTTTTTCTAGCATGTGCTCCCACCATCGTGTGCTCCCTCAACTCAGGCCTCAAGACAATGGAGCCAAGTGATAGCTCTAAAACTGGGAGACGAAATGGGCTTTCTCTCTTCTTAATCTCTGATTGCCTCGGGTATTTTGTTAGAGTAAGATAACACATCAAACAATTTCAAACTGTCATCTTGGCAGAGCTAAGACCAATGTGTATGAGCAAAGGTTAGTGCAATTCAAGGGAACACTGCTCCTGAAACCAACTGTTTAAGCCATAACCCAGCCTACCTTGGTAATATGTGTGACATAGCAAAACAGCCCTGCACAGCCTGAGCATAGTGTTCAGGGCACTCTGGAGGAAACACGAGCCAGCTGACCCCAGGCCCTGGAAAAGCTTCATGAATTAAATATGCCATGTCCTCTGTGACACGGAGCCATCACTGCTCTCAGAGCTGAGGTCTACTCCTCACATATAAGCAGGCTGACTGTGTCCTGCTCTCCTGGCTTCTAACCATTTCTACAGAAACTGCCAGCCATTATTCTAAAATCCCTTTGAGGAACCATCAGTCATCTAAGTATCTGGAAAACACAGCCGGGTTTTCAGATAATGGTCTCACTCACTGCAGAACAAACACTAGATTTGCTTCTTTTATTTTTTTAACAATGTTAATTTTCTATTTTTTAATAATTTTTTTTTTTATTTTTTGTGCCCTGGTGTTTAGCCTACATGTATGTCTGTGAGAGGATGTCAGATCTTGGAGTTACAGCAGTTGTGAGCTGCCATGTGGGTAATGGGAATTGAACCCGGTCTTCTGAAAGATTGGTTAGTGCTCTTAACCACTAAGCCATCTCTCCCACCCCTAGACTCACATTCTTTAGAGGAAAAAGAAACTTCATCTCTATAACATATATTCCAGCGTAAATTTCAAACTGTGGTTTTAGTCATTCATATTTTCTTTTCTTTAAAAAAGGAGGTTTATGGACTGGAGAGATGGCTCAGAGGTTGAGAGCACTGTCTGCTCTTCCAAAGGTCCTGAGTTCAAGTTCCAGCAACCACATGGTAGCTCACAAACATCTATAGTGAGATCTGGTGCCCTCTTCTGGCGTGTAGTCAGAACACTGTATAAATAATAAATCTTTAAAAAGGAGGTTTATTTTTATTATTTTTTAATTGTGTGTATATCTGAGTACAGGTGTACTCAGGAGCTAGAAGACAACTCTGGATTCCCTGGACCTAGAGTTGCATGTGATTGTGAGCCATCCAATGTGGCTGCTGGGAATCGAACTTGGGTCCTCTGGAAGAACAGTATGTTCTCTTCACTGCTCAGCCATCTCTCATTCAAACCTTCTAAAACCATTTATTTTCTTGGTGGTCCCAGGGATTGAAGCCAGGGCTGTCTGTGTACACTCTTGTCAAGGGCTCTGTCACTGAGCTGTCTCAGCTCTAAAAAAGAAAATGCTGCAATTCTGACCCCAAGCACCTGTCTGTCCAGTAGGATGGTCTCCGTGAGCCTGCGTGGTAAGACTATGACAGGAATTACGCACTCTCGGTCACCTAAACCATGTCTTTTCTTTTAAACACAGCTCAGGTGAGAGAGGGCTTTCATCGACAAAGCCCTGGGTTCAATCCCCAGCACCCCATACTATTAAGCATGGTGGTGCAGCCATGTGACCCCAGCACTGCAGAGGCAGAGACAGGAGAATCAAAGGTTAAGGTCATGGGCCACCCTTTCCTCCACAGCAAACTGCAGCAGCTGGCTGCAGCGGTGCAGCCAGTCCACAGCAACCTCACCCACAAGTGGCAGGGATGAGGCTGAGCAGCACTCTGGCCACACCCACGGGAGCCCAGGTGTTGGAGACCAGCCTGGGCAGTGTCCACCTGAAAGCTGATGGGTACTAGAGTATTAAATCCTAAGGTGAATTTGAAGAGAAAGACAGACGACAGACAAACAGACACTAACGCATGCGTCCTACCTGGGACATGTTTAAAATCTTCAGAGTGAAGTTTTCTAGCCCTGTCACATTCCTCTCCTGGCAGTTCACCTTGGGGAACTTGAGGCTGTCAGTGCTGTTGGCATCCTCGGTGGCAGACGGCTCGGGCTCAGCTTCGGCCACTCCAGGCTCAGAGTAGTATTCCTCTTCCCGCTCTGGGAAGCCGCCTGTCCCGTGCAGCCCGCAGCGCGGGTCCTCCTCTCCCAGCGCACTGCAGGTGCCATCAAGGGCCTCGGTGCTCCGGTGGTCCTCAGACGTCCCAGGAATCACTGACAACACCACCATGGGATCTCTGCGGGCACCCAGCCCTGGAGAGGCCTCAGTGGGCTCCGCCATCCTCACCTGGCCCCGATGGCCCTGAGCAGCCTGCTCTTCATGTAGGTACACAGCTCCAACCTGGACAGAGGGGCCAGGCTGCTCTTCCCGCCACGCTTGGCCACTGTCCTCTGCAACTAAAGTAGGGCGGCATGTTGTCAGATTTGACTCGAAAGCAACTGAACCCCAAAGCCTTATAATTATCTTTCAAAATGAGACCTCCCCCGATAGAGAAAAAGTTTCCATTTTACCATCAGAGGGCCACCTACGTTCCCCAGTTCTAGAGACTACAGACAGAGATGCTGTGCTAATAGATGCCAAGTAAAAAGACAAACACAGGCCCTCAATGTCTTCTCTACCCTGGGAGCAGCTCTCCTGCCTGGGCTCCTCACCCCTGAAAATAGCTGCCTGTTCTACCTGCTCCTTGATCAGGAGAGCCTCTCAGCTGCTGAGTTGTCCGCTCTCCTCAGGGGAGTTGGAGTGGCCACAGGTGCCAAGAGATGAGGGTCTCGGCAGCTTCCAAACCAGCGCCATTTCAAGGAGCCTCGACACAGCGCCAAGTTCGCTGGGGCTGAGGGGGCCGGTTCTGGGGCCGGGACTGGGACTGCTGAGGGAGCCTCCTCATTGGTTATTCCAGGAACCCTTCCCTGAACCAACAGCTCTTCTATGTGATTCTGGGCACCTTCCATAGTTCTTTTGTGTCCCACCTGCCCTGTATGCTCCTTTTCCTGTGCTTCCCAGGAAGTCTTGGGGAAGTGCTTGGCTCAGGGTTTGACAGAGAGAAGAAAATAAAAACTGTACTAATAAGAAAAAAAAAAAAAAAGACATGCACAGAACACACCAAAAAAATGACTTGTGACTTGTGATTTGCCATGTGAAGCACAATTAGAAAAAAAAACAAAACCCTGCAGTGCAAACAATCAGTTAGGAAAAAATAACAGAGACACTAAGAAAATGATAATGGCAGCTGGGCATGGTGGCTCGCTTGGGAGGCAGAGGCAGGCGGATCTCTGAGTTCAAGGCCAGCCTGGTCTACAAAACGAGTCCAAGGCAGCCAAGGCTACAGCAGAGAAACCCTGTCTTGAAAAACCAAAAGAAAAGAAAAATAATAATGTGGCCCACATCTCTAAACCCAGCACTTGAGAGGCAGAGGCAAGCAGATCTCGTAAGTTCCAGGCCAGCCTGGTCTACATGGAGAGTTCTAGGCCAGCCAGGGTTACATAGTGAGACCCTGTCAAGGGGGAAGAGGAGATTTCTTCTTTAGCTTGACAAACTGATTAGCTTGAGCCTTGCATAAAATGAAAATTATTCTATCACTACTTTCAAGGAAACTGCTTGGGAAATGTTAAAATGAGGGTGTGGACACTGAGCCCATTCTGCCAGGGAGCATCACTGACTGCCAGCACCTTCCCACCTAGTCAGCTTTCTCAGGAGGCTCTGCCAGCTGCAGATGTCTTCACAGTGCCTTCTGTGCAAGGAAGCCCAATGAGGAAAGGCTGGGGCTGAGGGGGCAGCTAACCTATACTTCCTAAGTGCAGTCCTCAGCATGCTTGTGTGACAGTGAGAAAATGCCACCTGTGTGCAAAAATTTGCAAAGGTGCTGTGAGGAGCAAAAGAGGAACAAAAGAGGAACAAAAGAGGAACGGAGTCCTAGCCTGAGAAGGCTGCAGAGGTGATGTGGTGTGCTTGCACTTCAAAGACGTGACTGCAACCAAGCTCCACACCCCAAACACACAAGCAGAATCTGCCCCCCTCCGCTTTTCCCCACTCCACTAACACACTTAGGGTTGCAGCCACCCCCACTGTACAATCCGGCAGCTCCTCCCGTCTCCCCTCCCTAAAGCTGCTCCTCACTGCAGTCAGAGTGGAACTAGACGCTGGTCAAACCTGTTCTCGCTCTCTCAGCTGCTTCCCCTGCCCTGTGTGAGTTATCCTCTATACTCTCTGGTCCCTGGCCCTCCCACTTGTCCCCAATCTGCCTGGGACCATTCTTGAGGATGGTTTCTCAGCTAAGAATGTCCTCGGCTCCACCTCCCCATCTCCAGGCAAACCCAATGTCCTTCAGGCAGAAGCAGGAAATTTTACTTCTGGAACTGGAAGGACATCTGTCCTGACCTTTAGATCAGGGTAAGCAGTCTCCAGGTGATACCCAATGATGTCCTGGGGCTTTCCTTGACGCCTTTTCCACCCTTATAATTCACTTGCTGGTTTGTATCCATGTGATAGGAGGAGGCTCTCTACTTTGACCCTTCCCTGAATTCCCATGCCCAGTAGTACAGCAGTATGATTCCCGGAACACTCCAATAGTGAGCTGGATGTGGTAGATCACACCTGGAATCCTGGTCACGGGGAGTCTTGGGGGGGGGGGGCCTTCTGTGACTTCAAACTAGGATGGGCTACATTATGAGACAGCCCTCAAACAAAACCAAACAAGTAACTAAATAACAAAGTAACAATCTGCTATCTGACTCCTAGGGGAGACTAGAGTAGGATCCTGGTCTCAAGGCCAGCTGTTACTCCCGTTCCTAGGCACCTGGCAGCACCCCTCGCCCCAGATGCTAATCTGTCAGTAGTATCTGCTGAGGGGAAAATCCTTGTATTTCAGCCACTCAGAGAAGGAACAAGCTCGTGAAGGTTCCTTTATGCCAACTTATATCCGATCCGCATGACCAATGCCCTCGTCAGTCCATGCTGTCTGCAAGCATGAATGTATGAATGTATCCCACACTTTGCAATGAGCTCATACTGACTTCCGACCCTGGAAAATCTGAGTATTTAGTGAGGAACAGTCACTGTGTGCATTGAATATAGAGAAACTAATCCCAATATTGTTCCTTTTGTTTGTTACAGTGTCTTGTATAGCAGAGGCTGACTTTGAACTCCTGATCCTTTGCCTCCACCTATGCAGTGTTGGGATGACACATGCCTGTGCCTCCGCCACCGCATCTAGAGGATCTAGAGTTGAAGCAGTGTTAAAGAACTCTAAGACAGGGAATGGCTGAGGGAAAGTCGGGTACCACCCCCATATTTCATGGCGGCTGCGGCGGCGGAAACGGTCTAGAACCTTAAGGCAGCTAGCACAAGCCAAAGCGCGCAGTTTCCCAGTATTGCCGCTTTCTGGTGAGGAACTCGCAGGCCTGTAATGAGCTCTGGGGGAGGGAGCCAGGAGAACCGACACTCGGACCCCATTCTCTCCTTGTTCCAACGCCTTTTTTTTTTTTTTTTTTTTTTTAGAGAAAGACGTCTACAGAGCCCATTAGTCCATACATCTTCTTCACTCTTTTAAGGCCAGTAATTAAATGAACTGAAAATACAAAATTTTAGGTGTGAGATCTGACAGACATAGGCTTACACCCCGGGCCCTCAACTCCGGCTGCACAACGCTGACAGAGGATTTACTGAATCTCAGTTTGCGGTGAGGCTTCTGTAAGTGGGAGCAATGAGGTCTGTAATCCCAGCAGTCGAACTGGGCTCTCTCGAAATAAACAACAGCAACAAAAAATATTTGGTGTAAACCAGGCGGTGGTGGCGGCGGCGGCGGCGGCGGCGCACGCACGCCTTTAGTGCCAGCGCTCGGGAGGCAGAAGCAGGGAAATCTCTTGAGTTAGAGGCCAGCTTGGTCTACAGAGTGAATTCCAAGACGGCCAGGCTACACAGAGAAACCCTGTGTTGAAAAACAAAAACAAAAAGAAGGAAAGAGATGGACTTTAATAGGAGTGGATAAAAGAGCCATGAACTAAACCCTTTCTCTCTCTGCTCCCCACGCTAGCAGCCCAGAGTGGCTCCTTTCCTCGCTTAGAGAGAACCCCAGGAACCTGCCGTTGTCTTCCGGTCTTTGCTTCAGGCAGATACCTACTGAGCCAGACTGGTCACCTTCAAAGGTGGCCCAGGACGACAGACTCCAGCACGGACTCTGGAGTCAGGGAGACTCCAGGCTCTGCTCTTTACTAGCAAATGCGAATGGGTTAATGGTCCCCTCTGCGCCTCCGCACCCCCAGCCTGTGACACAGAGCTACTAATGGAAGCTGTCTCCTGGGGCTGCTGGAAGGAAGCGCTGACCGAGGTTAGTGGCGCATCGCTCGGCGCTGGGGGAGTCCAGTAAGGGCACAACAAAAGCCAGGGCTCGTCACGATGGCGGCGATAAGCGCTCACCCCACCAGGTAGGCTCAGCCTCCGCTGTCCCGCCGCGGCCGCCCCGCTCGTATCCGCCCGCCCCGTTCCGCACTCACCCTCCAGGCCGCGGGCCGGAAGGCCCAGCACCCACAGCACTACCTGCCACCAGCGGAGGAGTCGCATGGCGCGCGACGCGGAGCCGCGGCCACGGCCACCGCCACCGCGGCTGAAGACAACCGGCGCTCGGCAGCGGGAGTCGCGCCCCCGCCCCGGCAAGCCTACGGGGAGGAGGAGAGCCGAGAGCGCAGGCGTGGCTGCGGGTCGCCATCTTGACTCCTGGCGGCGGCTGCAGACCGCCATGTTGGAGTCGGGCGGTCGGCTTCCAGACCGTGGGAGGTCGCGGGTCGTCTGATGTATTACTTCACTATCCTCCACAAGCTTGTGTGGCCAGGCAGAGGATAAATCCAGTTAAGTTTGAATTTCACATTCCTGATATATATGTCTTATAACTGAACAGCCTATAATTTGCTAAATCTGGCAAGTAACGTTTAATTGACTAGTTGGTTCTAATACTGTGGCTCAGGAACTAAGAGTATGACACTTAGGCATGCTGAACACTTTGAACTAAGGAACAATGGAAGGCCTCGTTATCAGCAGCCTCAGAAACAAGGCCTGGCCAGTTGTGATGGTTCATGACTAAAATCCCAGCTCCTGGAATCCTGTGAGGTAGGAGAATTACTGTGGGTTCTAAGCCAGTCTGGGCTACAGAGTGAGACCTTGTCTCGAAAATGAGAGGTGGGGAGAAGAGAAGAGAGAAGGGCAGGGCAGAGGGAAAGATGGCATGGAGGTTAAGAGCATATACTGCTCTTGCAGAACCCTAAGGGTTACAAACCAAAGGTCTTGGCCCTCTAAGTAAAGAAGCTGTAATTCTTTAGTAGCTGGGTGCTGGGCTGCTGCCAGTCAAAGGCCAAAGCAATAAGCCTCTGACCTGAACACTTAAGAGCTAAAACTCTCTGGCATTTAAAGCTTGGAGCCTGAGCCTGAAGGAACGACTCACTCATTAAGAGCACAGGACCAAGGTTTGATTCCCAGCACCCGCATGGCAGCTCACAACTGTCTGTAACTTCAGCTCCACGGGTCCAGTAATGCCTTCTGGCCTCCATCAGTACCCATGGGGTGCGGGTGTGGGCAGGAAAAACACCCACAGACATATAATTTAAACAGATCTTAAAATTCTTTTGAATATAAGTTTAGAGCCTGTGCTAGTTAGTTTTTGCTGCCAACTTGACAAAATCACAAGTTACAGTCATTTGAGAAGAGGGAACCTCAATTGAGAAAATGCCTCCATAAGGTCAGGCTGTAGGAAGCCTGCGGAACATTTTCCTGACTAGTGATCGATGTGAAAGAGCCGGCCCATTGTGGGTGGGGCCAGCCCTGGGCTGTAAGAAAGCAGGCATAGGAAGCCAGTGAGAGTGGGTGAGCAGCGGCATCATCCATGGCCTCTGCATTAGCTCCTGCCTCCAGGTTCCAGCCCCATTTGAGCTCCTGCCTTGCTTTTCTTCAAAGATGGAAATAAACCCTTTCCTTCACAACTTGCTTGAGTCATGGTGTTTTTCACAGTGATAGAAACCCTAAGACATAGGTACACACATACCTTCTAAGGTCAATTCATAAAGGTGACAATAAACTCTAATTCGGCAATCTCACCACCAGCAGATGGGACACAGTCCAATTCTAGTGACATGATTAGAAACCTTCAGGTCTAGCTGGCCATGGGTGGTGGACCATCCTCAGCCTTTTGAATTTTTTTCCGAATGTCTGACAATGACAGAAATAAAATGGGTAGCCAGGACCGCGGCTGCTGCTGGAGAGGCCGGGTATATTGAGTCATAGTCTCGTGTAATCGATTTAGAAAACTGGTCCAATTTCACTTGAGAATGATTCCGTCCCCTGAAAGAGGCAGCAAACCATGAAGTCTCTCTTCTGGTGGCCATCTTGACCCAGGCCATGTCACTCATGGGGACTGTCCACTAGATGGGTCTGGTCTGCATACAGCCTGGCAGCTGCCTGAACCCATCCACTAAGGAGTGAGAGTGGAAGCCTGTACTGGATGGCAGAAAGGTCATGCCCTGTAAGGTCATAGGCCCAGCAAAGATAGCAAAACTTTTTTTTTTTTTAAGTGGAACTCTTTAATATAGGCAGATGGATTGGCAGAGAAGGAGCCTAGCCAGTTTTCAATCAGGGAGAGGTCCTGCAGGAAGAAACATGAACTTGAACAAGCCCCTCAGCTCATACTACCTTCCAGAGGGGGCAGAGGTGAGCAGGTCTGTCAGAGACCACGTGTGAGATGCCGCAGGGGAGACAGGTCAGTGTTCGGAAGGAGACCAGGGTGTAGGTAGGCTGTGGGATCATAGAATCAGGAGAGGACAGAGTAGGCGAGAGGATGGTGTTGTGCCTGAATCGTGAAACCCCCAAAAGACCACCACCAGGAGTTGAGTCCGTCGCAAAACACATGAGAATCTTTTTACTACAAGCTGCAGCTTGGGCTCACACACCCTCACCGCCAAAGTCGTAAAGCAGTGAGAACTGAGAGCCTCATGCTCAGGTTAGTTCGGTGATTTAAAGATTCTGGTCCCTCCCAGTGCACCCAATGCAGGGGGACTCCTGCCTGGCAAGCATCTATTGGTTGAAACACAAAAGGGGATGTTGCATTTTGAATTGATTGGCTATAGGAAGGCCCCCAAACCATTAATGGGCCGGTTTCCTAGCAACTGTATCTCTAGCAGGCAGGAAAGAATTCAGTAAGGCTAGTTCTTCCCTGAAGGTGCCTGGACATACCTCCACTTGACTGACCTTAGTTCAGGCTTGTGCTTTAAACTTTAAAATAATAGCCACTGATTTTTAATTCTTTGGTCTCTCAATGGAGAAGAGTGTAGTGGAAGTTTTGGTTACATCATGTAAATATGTTTTTGTTGTAATGCCAAGTGTGGGACGCAGGGATGTTTTTAGTTTATCCACAGCTGATAACACCTCCTGGGAGGGCGGGTGATCTTTGCCAGCTGATAAAAGCCTCCTGAGAGGGCACATGATCTCTGTCAGCTGGAAACTGCCTGGTTTATTTCACTCCCTGCCCTGCTCTTGCTATATCAAGGCTTCTGTGTGAGTTAGTTTGAGCCCCTTCAGAGTATGGTAGGCTCAAGATACTCGAAATGCATAGCTTGTGGCATGCTCCAGTACAAATCCTCTAGCAGAGGGTGAAGCTGTGTAGCTACTACTGTTTTGAGTCTTATGGCCCTGTAGAGAGTTCATGGACCAGGAGCTCACACAGATTCAAGGGGTCGGGTTATAGCAAAATTGCCCTGAAGCCCACCAGCGTGGTGACAAGCCCATCATTGCCTGCCCCATTCCCAGGGACTCCTAATTCCTATTGGCTCACCTTGCAACACCCCCATTCTCCTGGTATGAGAGCTCTGTGGTGCCTACCGCTTAGTACAGAACATCTGCCTCATTAGCAAGGGAGTAATCCCAAACCATCCTGTGGTTACCAAGCCCCTCTAACCACCCTCCTTTCTAACACTCCTCCTACAGCTTCCCACTTCACCATCCCAGACATAAAGGGCACCTTCTTTATCATTCCCTATATCCTTTGCCTTCACCTGGGAGGAGCCTGATACACAGATTGCAAGACAGCTCATATGGACAGTTTTCCCAGGGCTTCTGGGGCAGTCAAGCTTTGGCCTGGGACCTCTCCTCATTAGACCTTAATCCTAGCTTAATTTATTTATTTATTTATTTACTTACTTACTTACTTCTTTCTTGTGTAGATAATATTTTACACTGCATCTTTTCCCTGTCTCTGTCCCAAGGAAATACTGCGTCACGCCTAAACTATCTTACTGTATCTGTCAAAAGTTCAGCTGTGTTCTCCCACTACTGTGCACTTGGGCATCTGACTCAGCCCAGGGTCAAAGACCCTAACCTCTGAGTCCAACCATTACAGAACTTGCAGCCCTGACCACAGTAAACCAGATCCTTTCCTTTTGGGGCATAATGGGATTCTTCCGACACTGGATCCCCAATTATGGTCACATGGGGGATGCCCTCACCTAAATAACTGCCCCATCCTTCCCCAGCAGCAGGATCTCTGATATCCACCAGAGCCTACACAGCAGCCCCAAGACCCTATCCCAATTTCTAGAGCCCCCTTTTCTATCCCACTGGCCTCCGAGCCCACATTTTACACGTCCACACCTCCTGCCAGACATGTGCCAAGGCCAACCCACAGGAGGCTCTCCAGATACATCAGTTTCTGCACCAACTCCAAGGACACCAACTAGCTGAGGACTGACGGACTTCACCCACATGTCCACTCATGAAAAAGCTCTGCTATCCCCTAACCCTTGTTCTACAGGTTGGATTGAGGCATTCCTCACCTCCAGGGAAACAGCAGATGTGGTGGCTCAGGGGCTCCTCAAACACACAATTTCTGGGTTCGCCATGCCACAAACCATCCAGACAATGGTCCAGCCTTTACCTCCAGGGTCTTCGAAGCTCTTAACATATCCTGGGAACTCCACATCCCCTCCTGCCCTGTCCTCAGACAAGGTTGAGAGAGCCAAGGGAATCATCAAACAGTACATCACTAAGCTCTTTCTGGAACTCAGGTTAGCTCGACCCTCCCTTCTCCCCACTTCCCTCACCAGCCTCCCACCCACCTGGCACTCTCCTACATGTTTAAGTCCCTTTGAACTCCTCTACAGGAGGCTGTTTCTCCTCAGCCACCACCTCCTGGCTCAGACGCCCTGCTGGCTGGGTACCTACCTCTCCTTCCTACAATCCTTTCTCCTTTCCCATGCTGACAGCTACCTGCCTGTCCCCATCCCAGAGGACCCAATTGCTCCTGAGCTGCCCCACAGGGAACTCAAACAGGTATCTCCCACGTCTCTACAGGCCGAGGGGAAAAGACCCTACACTGTGATCTCCACCCTTTCAGCTGCCAAGCTCCTGCGACGTCAGTGCTGGCACCTACCACCTCTCCAGGCTCAAGAGGGCACAAGAGGGCAGCTACTACTCTCCAGTTTTCCAGAAGGCCACAGTGAAGGGCCAGGATGGCCAAACCAGAGCGACTCCCTCTGCCTCAAATGGTGGCAGTCTCCCCCTTTTCAATGGCTTGCCCTGTAATAGTACCCCTCATTTGCCTATTTTTTTTTTTTCCCCTTGCTTCCTCTACCTTCTCCAGACTGGATTTGCAAGATCCAACCCCATCACCTGAAGTCACTA